CCTATTGCTATCCTGCTATGTTCCTGCATGCACCAAAACAGAAAGGGATTTTCTCCACCCTAAGCAAGGTATAGCTGCCATGTAGGCGGAAGCATGCACGGTATATAACTCCTTCCCAAATGTGCTCGGGGCTCAGACTTTGGAGTTGGACCCCTCTGGGCCCGCCAGTGTAAAATAAACCTCCTGGACCCGGAGCCTCCGAGTGCCACTTGGTCTTTCCGTAAGGTGAGCGTCTCCGGTTCCACAACAAAACCACATAAGATGGTGTGAAATTAAAACTTTTTACTAAAAGCAATTTATATCCTAGGCTAGAATCTTCTCTGACAAAAGTCAGTCTTTACCTTAATTAAGCCTATCTGTTGTCTTTTTGCATCCCTTTGGAATGTCAGAGTAACTTCCCTTTCTCCAGGCCCCTCAGGGCACAACCAATGCACCATTCCTCTCATTGTTGACAGTTAACTCTCCTGCACCCACCTATGTAAAAGAAGTATGGGTCTATCATTTTACTTTTTATCCAGTCCCAGAGGTTTCCCTGTTTTGCTTTCTCCCACCTCCCTAATCTATCACCAATGGATTTCATGTACCCACTTATATCTTCTATTTTCATTATAATGTATAAAATAAGATGAAAAACTGCCATTCTCTGGAGCAGAAAAATTTTCTCAATCCTTGAGATTTTGCTTCCTGGCAATTGTTGACAGTTTGGCTCAAATAAACTCACAAAAATTCTCTACAGGTTTGAATATTTCATATGTTTACAAGATGAATGTCTAGTAGCAAATGGGGCCCATTATCCAATATTTACATATAAGGATTTCCTCATTCGTTTTTACTGTCTAATACTTACCACCGCAATTTCTAACTATTCAAATCTGCAACTATTTATGAACTTTGTAGAAGGAAATACCATGCTGCCTCTAAGAGAATGGTTGTAAGAAAAAAATTCTTCAACCATTTAAAACACCAGTATTTCAAAAGACATAATCTTTGCATTTGTAGTATTTGCTACCAATAGCACCTGTACAGAACAATCTTTAATCTACAAAGGTACAAATAAAAGAATCATTAAGTCAATCAAAAATAGGATCCACAGAATTCATAGTCCCCTACTGGAAAAGATTCACCCTGCAGTTACTCACTATGTTCAATAACTGTGCTTTGTATATAGGCCTAAAGAAACCAGGATTACTATTTAAAAACTTAGAAAAGTACACCCATTAATTGCCACCCAAAAACCAACACACTCTTTTTATTTAACACATGCAGAGCCTAAATGCCTAAAATAAGTATTTGATGCAATTATAATAGCACAAATAAAAAGCTACCCAAGTTAGCACATGCCATCCACACATAATTGCTAACTTTGCTATCATACTAATCTTATAGGCTTAGAGTTGGTATTGTGTTATTTAAAACCAAGATTATTAGATTAACATTAAGTGCTTATAACAAACTAGATGCCATGCCATATACTGCCCCAGAAGCTCCAACTCATTCATAAATAAAATCATCAATCGCTGATAAACTTAAACTAGTAGTACATACTGTAAAATGTGTAGTTTTCCTGGTTGTGGAAGGCACCGTCAAGCTTAGATTCTGCCAACAGCAACAGTAAAGGAATTATTTACTGCCGTTAAAATCCCCCAAATAAATATTAAAAGCTTCAGATTACAGATTTTTATCTAGTCAGTACTTCAATCATCCAACTAAGGTTTAACCACACAGCCACAAAAAAACAAATGTGCCACTATGTTTAGCCAAAAAACCCATCCTATCAATGCTATTCTACTTTTTCTTAAGTTTTTATAGTTTTATTCATTCTATTCATATCACTTTCAGAAATATTTCCCATTTTTATAGGTTTTATACCTCTACTAAGACCAATGAGAGCCAATTTCAAGCATTACAAACCCAAATATTAATATTACAGTAGAAAGATGGCATACAGTTGGCAGCAATAATTCCAATAAGAGTAAGGACCCAAGACTTTCTCAAGGCAAAATAACAACTGTTTCCTGGCTAGAAAACAGCCTGTTTATTAGATATCTTTGTCAGATGTCACTCCCAAGCCCATCAAGGAGGTTTAACAGCAGTTTATCTTCAAACAACAGACTGGTCACTAAAAAGTAATCAATAATCTAAGAGCACTCTAAAGTCTCAGAAAATAAATGAAAATTTACCAGATTTACTGTTATGGATATAGGTTTCCAAGGAATGCCACCACACACAATCAGAAACAAAACATCTCCTCACACTCACTTTCACATCAGCTTCCAAATTTTCCCATTTTTCTTCTCCTTCCCCTCTGCCACCGTTCTGCATCCAAACCCATCCACCTTCCTCTCACCAGAGTATAAGTTACAAAACAAATTCCTTTCTATTCATTCAGTCAATACTGAGACAAAATAATTTTGATAGCAGAATGCCTGATTTATTCATGAGCTTGTACAATACCTGGAATCATCTGTCACTTCTTCAATAAAGCCCGATTCACATCTGGGACAAATATATTCCTATAAAAGAAAAAAATAAATTAAGTTTTTCATTAAAAAGCTAAGTATAACATGCAGTACACGCTGATGCTGTGGAATGTGTACATGCTTGCTCACTCCCACGATAGGTTTTTTTCTATTATACTCTGGAAAATGACAAATTCCATAAGATGTTTGCAGAATAGCTTCATAAGTGGTTCTCAAGGACAGCTGAAAGGGAGGATGTCAGAGATTTTCCCTTTTTCTGAATTTGGGTTTAATTTTTTTTAACTAGAATGAATTCATTATCGAATTTTCTCTTCAAATCTAATGAAAAAGCTCCATTAGTGGTATCAAAGGTAAAAGATTATAATATTGATGGGTACAGAAACTGCTGTTTTTTACTATGTATATACAGAAGACATAAACTGAATCACAGCATAAGTCAATGTGTAGACGAGGAATTTACAGTGAAGTTTTACAATATTTCTAGTCAATTTTTTTATTACCACTGATTCCAAATAACACTTAATATTCAGACCCCAATTAGTCAAAGAAACCTTGAGAAACAACAAAGTAGGAGGATTACACTCCCTGATAGCCAACTATACTACAAAGCTACAATAATCAAAATAGTATGGTACTGCCATAAAAACAGATATATAGATGATTAAATACAACAGAGAGCCCAGAAACAAATCCTCGCTTACATGGCCAATTAATCAACAAGGGAGGCAAAAATATACAATGAGGTAAAGACAGTCTCTTCAATAAGTGGTGTTGACAAAACTGTACAGACACAAGCAAGAAAATAAAATTGGATCACTTTCTTACATAATATACAAAAATAAACTCAAAATAGATTAAAACCCTAGCCGGTTTGGCTCAGTGGTTAGAGCATTAGCCCATGGACTGAAGGGTTGTGGGTTCAATTCCAGTCAAGGACATATGCCTCGATTGTAGCCTCAATCCCCCTCCTTCCATTCTCTCTGAAAAACAATGGAAAAAATATCCTCAGGTGAGGATTAAAAAAATTAATCAATCACTCAACAATAGATTAAAGACTTAAATGTTAGACCTGAGCCCTGGGTTGGGTGTCATCCCATGTACCAAAAGGTTGCCAGTTGGATTCCCAGTCAGGGCAAATGCCTAGGTTGCAGGCTCGATCCTCAATAGGGGGCGGGCAGGAGGCAGCCGATGCATATTTTGCTCTCACAATGATGTTTCTCTCTCTCCCTTCCTCTCTAAAAAATTAACTTAAAAAAATAGTTTAAAAAAAAGTTAGACCTCAAACTATAAAACTCCTAGGAGAAAACACAGGCAGTAAATTCGTTAACACTGCTGTTAGCAGTATCTCTTTGGATATATCTTCTCAAGCAAGAGAAACAAAAGAAAATAAGCAAATAAATGGGACCACATCACACTACAAACTTTTTGCACAGTGAAGGACATGAACAAGAGGAAAAGACAACCTACTGAATGGGAGAAGAGTCGCAAAAGATATATCCAATAATGGGTTAATATCTAAACTATACAAAGATCTCCTACAACTTAACACTAAAAAAGCCTCAACCAAATCAATTTAAAAATTGGCAGAGGACATGAACAGACAATTCTCCCAAGAGGACATACAGATGGCTAACAGACATAAAAAGATGCTCAACATCACTGCTAATCATCAGGAAAATGCAAATCAAAACCAGAACGAATATCACCTCACACCTGTCAGAATGGCTATTAGCAATAAATCAACAAATAACAAATGCTGGCAAGATTTTGGAGAAAGGAAACCCTTGTACACTATATACACTGCCAGTGGAATTGTAAATTAGCGCAGGCACTATGGAAAACAGTATGGAGGTTCCTCAAAAACTTAAAAATAGAGCTGCCATATGATCCAGCAATTCCACCTCTGGGTATTTGAAAAAAAACAACACACTAATTTGAAAATAAAAATGCACCCCTATTGGTTCACTGTACCACTCCTAGTAATAGCCAAGATATGAAAGCAATCTAGGTGTCCATCTGTTACAGAAGAGTGAGAAGCTAGGAAAATTCCAGGGCAGGAGGAATAGGGAAGCTGAGATGAGAAAATTAAACAAGGACAAACATGCAGCTAGCTAGCTGCAAAACCTTATATTGAGAATAAATGGCTCTCTTCACTAACCAAAGAATGCAGGAAAGGAGGGAGAAGGGAAGGAGTATACGTAACTTAAATACATAGTATACATACTCCCCAACCAGATATACATAGCTTAAATCACCCTGGAACTGCTAAAGAAGGAGGCGGAAGGGAGAAGGAAGGAAAGAAGAGCCTATCTCACTAAACAAAGAAGTCAGCCATCTTGAGGAAGGAAGAGAAGTGGGAGTTTTCATCTCACCGTTTAAACAGGGAAGCCAGCAGTCCCAGGACTTGGAAAGATAAAATTGCCAGGTGCTTCATATAAATTCTAGGAAAGCCATTGCAAAGTAAAGAGGGAGACCTTAAGATATTAAGGTCTGTACCAAGATATTCATCAGAGGAACTTAAAGTCTATAGACAGAAGGGTATATAACCCCTTGAATCCCCACCAGACTTACTCCTCAGGCTAGCTGAGAGAGCCCACCCACACCCTATAGGCCGGATGTAATTTGATAATTTGCTTGCCTTCCTTCTTTAATAAATTTGCATTACTTTTTTAATAAATTGGCTTTATTACAATGCTGCTGTCACTCGTTTGAATTCATTCCTTACAAGAGTGACAGGAACCAAGAAGGGAACAGCCCTCTCCCTCCGATTCAGGGGGCTATCCAGTAACACCTTTCCTGTTGTCTGTGCAGTGCCTGTAATATATCAATAGGTGAATGGATAAAGATATGGGGAAGCGGGAGGTGTGCACCAAAGTTTTGCCACTCTGAAGATGCTTTTTGGGATATTAATTTTAAGTTGTTTATTAAGAAACAAGACTCAAAAGGAATCTCTTCATGCCCAAAAGATTTAGATAGATAAACCTGATTCAGGAAGGAAATCTTAGGATTTCACCTTAGTCTAATTTGAATTAAATATAGTAAACAGAGGGATTCAGACAGGGGCCTGTTGGCTAGATATCGCATGTCCTATTGTTTCCAAATACCCTACCAAGAATTTTTCTCCCTGTATATTCCACTCTACCTCAACTACTTATAAATGGCCCACTCTCACTTCTGAAATCTAAGACCCACCCCCCCTTCTCGTATGTCCAAAATGTCTTATTTACCCAATGTTGCCTCACTTATCTTTGGAATTTATATGCCTGTGTGAATTCCACATGCACATGTATTAAAACTTTATTTTCTCCTGTTAACTTGTCTGTATTAATTTGACTATCAGCCCAGGCTAGAAGAACATAGAAGGTAGAAGCAAAAGTATTAATATATTTTTTAGCCCCCACAATACACACACACATACACACACTACTGGAATATTACTTAGCAATTAAAAATGAAATCTTGCCCAGCCAAGAGTGGCTCAGTGGTTAAGCGTCAACCTATGAACCAGAAGGTCACAGTTTGATTCCCACTCAAGGCACATGCCAGAGTTTTGGGCTCGATCCCCACAGTGGGGTGTACAGAGGGCAGCCAATATATGACTCTCATCATTGATGTTTCTATCTCTCTCTCTCTCCCTTCTTTTCTCTAAAAATCAATAAAAAACATAAAAGTAAAAAAAGACACTTTGTTAAAAAATAAATTAAAAAAATAAATCTTGCCATTTGCGACAACATAAATGGACCTAGAGTGTATTATGCTAAGTGAAATAAGTCAGACAAAAACAAGTACTATATGAACTCACTCATATGCGGAATCTGAAACACACCAAAATAAATGAATAAAAAAAAATAGACCCATGCAGAGAACAACGTGATGTTACCAATGGGAAGAGGGAGGATGGGAATAAAAAATTTAAAAATACATTAATGTAAAAATAAAATTGTAAATCAAAATTCAGAGTGTAGAGGATTTCCAAGATGGTAGCAGACTGAGTGGAAGCTACACTGATGTTCTCCCAGGACCAAACTGGAATTACAACTAAAATATAGAAAAACCTTCCTGAATAATCAACTGCAACTGAAGACTAGCTGGAGAGCACCCTCATAACCAAGGAGGAAAAGTGGAGAGCCCACAGAGACTGGTAGGAAGTGGGGAGGTACAAGAGGGCTGGCAGGGTTCCCACAGGAAGCAGCTGAAGGTTCAGGGGACTATCTCAGCTGTGGGGGGTTCCCACTGAGAACTCAGGGGTCTAAATCCCAAGCTGGGCTCCCCAGCCCAGAGCTCCAGAACTGAGAAAGGTACACACATAAGATCTGGCTGTGAAAAACAGCAGGGTTTCTGTCTGCCAGGAAAAGATGACAGATGGAAATACAGGCACCCTCTTAAAGGGCCAACACACAAGGTTTTGTGTGTAGCCACCAACCTTGGGTTCCAGTAGAGGGAAGGCAGAGTGGACTAGAGGTGTGTGAGGAGAATCCAGGGTGGATGGCTGGGGAATAGAGCTCAGAGGGCACCCATTGGGACCCCAGTGCTAAGTTATCCCCCCATATGACAGGGGACATCTTTCTCAGGCAGATATTTACCTTCCAAGAAGCTTTTGCCTGGGGGTGAAACAATTGACCCACACTGCTGGAAAACTCTTGCTCCACCCTGTGGAGTTTCTACAGCCTGAGGT